AATGTTTTTGACTCCACTGGCTCTCGGGGTTAATATGCTGATACGTATCACTTAAAGATTAACACCCCAGCTTACTTTCCCTCATGCTTAAACACCCTAACACTAACACGCTGCTTGAGGGGGTTAGGTTAGGTTCAATCATCAGGTGAAATAAGCTGGGGTACCTAGACCACGTGAATGTTTTAAACTTCATATTTACGTGGATATATTCAGTGGTATACGAGACACAGCATTTGAGTATTAGTAGTCACCTCAACGTATGGAAAGTGTCATGTTTATAAAGTTAAGGTTAAAGGTAAAACTGTGTATATTGAGTAGAATGTAAGGCTACTCACATATGTATAAAGCCTGTATAATAAAAAACAGAAGGTCAGGTTGTTGATGGGCGGTAAAAGTAAAGTAGTTAGTTACGTTATAGGACGGTGGTTTGTTTACGTGGGTACATTCAGTGGGATGTAGGGCAGTGCCGGTGCGATGGGTGGGCCGTTACGTCTTGGCTGGCTGGTGGTGGAAATCGACCTTTGTGATGCTGGCGCCAGCTCACCCTAGTCCTTCCCTCCCTCCCTCCTCTCGCCAACCTTAGGAAATATTTAAAACACTTACTCGGCCCATACTGAAGAGAGTGAGGGGAAGTGTTCGATATAAATAAAGTGAGGATAAGGGTGTTTTAGTCTTTTTTTCGTTATTGAGGCAACGAAAATAAATTGAGTATTATAATTTAGCACCATGTCCTTGCCCTCCTGTGTTTGATATAAGAACTCATTTTAATACGATAGCTTAGTGCCATGTGTACTTACGATAACTTAATCTCTTACGTGTATACTATGTCTTAACCTCTAGTCTACGATGACTTGTTGGATCAATTCGAATCTAGAAAAACAAACATTAATTTGTATCTACTCGTGGTTCTGTTTTAATAATAATAATAATAATAATAATAATAATAATAATAATAATACAGTAATAATAATAATAATAATAATAACTCGGTTAGCCATTGTAAGACTTTAGAATCTTTGCACAGTTAAGACAATTGAGAGGTGGGAGGGAGGGAAGGAGGGAGGGAGAGGGAAGGGAGGGGGTGGGGAGGGAGGGAGGGAGGGGGTGGAGAGGGAGGGAGAAGTAACAAGGCGTGGGCGTGAAGAGGTGGAGGATGGGTGGGTGGGGGTGTGAGGAGTTGAGGCTGGGTGGTAGGCGTGCAGGATGGGGAGGGAGAACGATGTTGGTGATCGGGAAATGGGGAGTAGGAGGGCGTTGGTGAGGAAGTGGAATAGTGGGGAGACTTGTGTTGGTGTTGTGATGGTGGTGGGGAGGTTACGTGGTGGTGGGGAGGTTATGTGGTGGTGGGGAGGTTACGTGGTGGTGGGGAACTAATGTGGTGATGGGGAGGTTACGTGGGGGTGGGGAGGTTATGTGGTGGTGGGAGGTTATGTGGTGGTGGGGAACTAATGTGGTGATGGGGAGGTTACGTGGGGGTGGGGAGGTTATGATGGACCACCCACTACCACTGTCTCACTCCCTGGAGAAAGTGAGATACTTCTATAAGCACAGCGACACTTGAGCATGATTCTATTAATTTACTACAGTACTTTATTATTGTAAGAGATAAGAAGAATATTTTTTCATCCATTTTGGTGAAGAATGTAATCAGTTGGTAATTGTATGTATGTATGTATGAATGTGTGTATGTACTAACTCTTGAAGATGTGAATTATACGAAAACGCTTTGGAACTTCGTGTTTTCCTGTTTCCTATGTGGTTATCATTGTATGTATGTATGTATGTATGTACAGTATTATGTCAGGGATGAACCGGAAAAAATAGCATGATAAGCTACAGCTGGAAAGAAGGTAATAGTAATTGGTGCTGGCCAGAAGGGTAACAGTGGAACGAGATGTGGATAGTTATGAGCTGCAGTATGGTGGTTACGGCTCTTGAGAGAAGAAACGAAGATGGAGAGATGGGTATTGGTAATGACTCACAGCTTGGAAGAGGAGGAGAAGGAGAAGACTTATTGACTTACAGAGCGCGGGAGGGACGGACACACACACACACACACACACACACACACACACACACACACACACGGCAGCCATATACAGTGATCACACCTCAATGAATCAGTGGTAAGAAACATGAGGTTAAACCGCAGGGATATACAACACGAAACAGCTGTTGTGTGAGTCATCATAGGTTGTTGGTTATGGATAGCATGTGGTTAAAGAGAGGCGAGATGGATATAACCAGCAGGATCAACGTGTGAGGGCTGGTGGAAGGCGCAGGGGGAGTCCAGCGTCCAGCAGAGAAAGGAAGATAGAAATGAACGGAGAAGTTGTAGGACAATTAAACGAAGATAATATTTACAGAGACAGTAAAGGTGTGGGGTAGAATAAAAGGAAGGAACACCATGGGGGGAAAAAATAACTTAATTATGATATGTGGAGAAGCAGATGTGACTAAGAAGAAGAAAACGGCTTTTAAGGAGTGGAAAATAACAGAAAATGGCCGAGCAGAAGAAAAATATACACCTCTGAGTAGGAAGTAAAGAGAGCAGTGGGAGTGTGGGGGTGAGAGGGGGATGAGGGGAGGGTGAGGTGAGGAGAGGGGAGAGGGAGGTGAGGAGTGAGGTGAGGAGAGGGGGAGGTGAGGTGAGAGTGAGGTGAGGAGAGAAGAAAGTGAGGTAAGGAGAAGTGGTATGACAACTCGCAAACACCAGAAGGAAACCAAACCTCCTGTAGGGTAACAAATGCAAGACAAAAGAAAGAAAAAACAGGAACAAGGAAGAATAAATCCAGTATGTAATGAAGAGAGGAACACCTGAACACCTTAGAACTGGACATTAAAAGAGGAAAGAATATTTTGCTAGACTGCAGATTGTGAGGGAGGGGGAGGAAGGTCAAGTGGTTGCTGGAAGGGGGACCAGTGATATCCAGATGGAAGAGGAGGAGGTGAAGAGGTTGATTGCCTGAATGGTAAGAGGGAGGAAGACTTGTGGATCATCGTGGATAGTAGGTACTGTAATGAGGTGGTGAAGGTGTTGGGGTGGACGAGGGGTGATGGTGTGATTGTTGTTATCTGTGCAGAGGAATGTGGAGAGGGGCAACAAATACCTGAGAGCAGAATACAGACACAAGTTATTAGTACCTTAGGCAGAGGAAGATATCTAAAAGAAAAAATGATGAGAACGATGGAGGAGATACTTGAAACAGCAACAACTATACGGACATTCACAATTAGAAGTGAGAATTATCCTACAACATGGTTCAGTGTGATGGATGTACCGAGTGTTTGTGGGAGCTCATGATTGTGGATGATCTTACCACAACAGCAGACAGAGAGAGAGAGAGGGGCTACAGAAGAGTGTGTTGTAATGACAGAAGAATATTAAAACATCAGGGTTGAATGTTAACGTTAGGAAGACAGGGGTTATGGTGTGTAGCAAGACGATAGGGGTGTGGCCAGTAGTATGGATACGAGGTATGAAGAGCTGTTGCAAATTGACAGGTTTCAAGTAGATTTAGGATGAGTGTGAAGACGGAGCGAGATTGTAAAGTAGAAATGAGAGATAGGATGAGGGCGGAATGGACAAACTGTAATAGGATGTTGCAGGAACTCTATGAACCAGGAGGAAAGTGAAGTGTAAGATAAACAATATACTGTATATAACAATAATCAGACCGGTGTTAATATGTAGAATAGATGTATGAGAAATGAGGAAACGGGAGAAAATGTTAGAGAGATAGAAGTCCTGGATGTTGTGTTGGGAGAAATGAAGATATTAGAGTGAGATTGGCATTTAGAAGTAGTAAGACGGGTTGATGCCGAGAGGGTTTTGGTCATGTGATAAGACGAAGAGAGAGGGAGAGGCGACAGAGACACTGGAGTGAGACAATCAGTGGAAGGGGATCAAGAGAAAGGCAGAAGTTTAACGGTGGAGGGATGTGGCTGAGTGTGGATAATGCTGACAACAGAACATGACTGAGATGGATTTGAGAAGCTGACCCTGACACTAGGAATGAGGAAATGAAGGACTCTATTATGTAAAGTCACTCACAAAAACTATCTGTACTTGGGGTGATCGATGAATTTCAGAATGAACACTACGACTCCTATTGTCTCGGTAGGGTGTCAAAATCTTTCGTCGGTTGTATCATATTTTTTCAATACAATTTTCTATAGATAGGTTTTTTTTGAGTGGCTATACGCATCAACTATTTAGGATAATTACCTAATTAAACATTGAAACTCTGCTGACGTTTTTGGTCACTTAGGGATGAATTTTCATTTTTATTTCTTCGTTAATGAAAGTTATACATACAAGACGTTGTTTACTTGTACTGTCATAACAAACAAACTATATAAGAATCGAATTAGTTAAAGTTAGGTTAGGTTAGGTTCGGTAAGGTCGTTAGGTTAGGTACCGGTAAGTGGGGAGGTAATAGATTAAGTTTAGTTAGGCAAGGTAAGGTCATTATGTTAGGTTTAAGTAAGGTCATTATGTTAGATTAAGTAAGGTCATTATGTTAGATTAACTAAGGTCATTATGTTAGATTAAGTAAGGTCATTATGTCAGGTTAAGTAAGGTCATTATGTTAGATTAATTAAGGTCATTATGTTAGATTAAGTAAGGTCATTAAGTCAGGTTAAGTGACTCATAACCTCCAGTTCAAATTATCCAGCTTGAAATATGTAGAGTCTTTAGGAAAGGAAACGCCTCGGTGAATATATTTAACAACCACACTTGCCAGCTCACCCTCGCGTTTTTTATTTGTTCAGAAAAAAGACCTCGACTGCAAGAGGGGGTTTACCACACACTCGTACCTGCAATTTAACTGTAGTGTGTTTGAAGGTACGTATTTTTATTTGTGTGTCTTGTACTTTCTTCATCATCCATCATCATTATCAATCACTAATATGACATCTTTCTCAGAGGAACGACAAAGATGTGTTATTTTATTTCGTAATTATCGCTTAACACTTTTTTTGTCTGTCTCCTGCAGCGCTGACGGAGGAGGAGGCGCTATCGAGGCCCGTCATCTCACCTGAAGACGTCCTCAGACTCAACAAAATCACAGAAAGTGAGTAAAACTAAAGGTGGTGTGTGGTGTTAGTGGGGGATGTTACTACCTCAAGTTGCTGTCATACGTTCTACTACTGTGTTTGTGTCTGTCTTGTGTTGTAAAGGTAATATCATAGTTAATATACCATGTTATGTTCAAATGCCACAGAGGAATATGCTGCTGTTACCATAAATGACATTTCAAGTGTGAACAGTTAGCATACGTGATGTAGAGGAACAAGCCTGCAGGTAAGGTAAATACCTCCCCGGTCAGTTGTCATGATGAAGCATCGTAAAGTGACAGTGATCTCGGTGAAAATTCTTAAACATGTTGGGGTTGTTTTTCTGTAACGAGGTTGAGAGAAGGATTCTGTTTACATTAGTCTGATGCACTATTTACTCCATTTCCCCCTTTATCTCTGTGGGTTAGTTTAGGGGTGAGACAGGCAGAGGAGTTTTCACATCTTCAGTTTACGGATAATGTAAATTTATTGTACTTTGAAGTTTGGAAATCCGGGTCTAGGTGGACGTTTTTTGTGACAGACCTTGTTCACAACATGTTTATAAGGGGCAAGAGGGTGGAGTGGCAGTAGGAAGTCGACAGGATTTTGGATTTTGGGACGTCTGGTTATACAGCTCAAATTACCTTGCCTCGTCACGCCTCACCTGGACCAGACGGAGGTAACTGGAGTGGCCACGAGGTCATTGCGATAAGTGTTCGTGTTCTGGCAAGACGTAAACAGCTGCTTATGTCAACAATGTTTCCATGCACATACGCATTTACCTCTTACTCATTACAGGCAGACGTCAACAACTGTTTATGTCAAAGATGTTTACCCGATTTATTCATTATAGGACGGCACAAACGACTGGACAGATCGAGACCCCCAGACCAGGATTTTCAGCGTGGGTTAACAATGGCTGAACTGTCCTCTTAGCGGACTTTGATTTTACTTGAAGATTTCTACTACTCGAAAAATTTGTGGCTAATTTTCTATCTCTGCTTAAATAGTTCGTAAGACATATCTAACAGCAGGCAAATTATTATTATTATTATTATTATTATTATTACACACACACACACACACGCGCGCACACGCACGCACACACACACACACACACGCGCACACACACGCGCACACACACACACGCGCGCACACACACACGCGCGCGCACACACACGCGCACGCGCGCACACACACACACACACACACACACTTTACCTCCCGGCCATAGACCTCCTCGCCAGCATGATGTAACCTTGATAAAAACTTAATGCAGTATTATGTTTACAAGATTTAATTAGACCTCAGCGATGGAGAGCTGAGGAGGAGGAGTGTGTGTAATAACGTCCCTCCTCCTAACAGCGCCTTCGTAGATAATATGATTCTCTACCCCTTATGTTGAAGTGTTCGTTACTTCCTGGTCCACGTAGTAGCAGTAGTGTGTGTGTATGTCCTTTTCTCCCTATGATACCCTACCAAATGTCAGCATCACTGCCAACTCAGTCACTGAAGTCACCAAGGCTCACAACCTTATCTTCTCTGGTGATAGAGGTCAGCACTCTGTCAAGGTCGACGTAAAAGGCCTCCTTAAGGAGGCATTAGCCCAGTCAATATGAATGAACAAATTTTAAGACGATATTAATAAATGCATTATTATTCACTCCTCTCAAATGAATATTATACAGTAGTAGTATACAGTAGTAAAAAAAAATTATTGAAAAAAGATACGATTCATTGCACATGAGTTTTTGGCGAATTTCTGGCAAAATCCCAGATGGCCACGGCCAAAACTGTCAAGAATATAGCCGTGGTCACCAATGCCCAACATTCGACCAAGTTTTCCCTAAGCATGACACCATACCTCGCCACTCTGGCAGACCAGGTGCGTCTTTTTTGCCTCACCCGCTGAGACGCGGCACCTCCCTCCTCTACGCGAGGTGCGTCACCTCCCTCGTCTACGCTAGGTGCGTCACCTCCCTCTACGCTAAGTGCGTCACACACCTTTACGCTAGGTGCGTCACCTCCCTCGTCTACGCTAGGTGCGTCACCTCCCTCTACGCTAAGTGCGTCACACACCTTTACGCTAGGTGCGTCACCTCCCTGCGTCACCTCCCTACCTGCGTCACCTCCCTCCTCTACGCTAAGTGCGTCACCTCCCTCTACGCTAGGTGCGTCACCTCCCTCGTCTACGCTAGGTGCGTCACCTCCCTCTACGCTAAGTGCGTCACACACCTTTACGCTAGGTGCGTCACCTCCCTCTACGCTAAGTGCGTCACACACCTTTACGCTAGGTGCGTCACCTCCCTCTACGCTAGGTGCGTCACCTCCCTCCTCTACGCTAGGTGCGTCACCTCCCTCCTCTAAGGCAGGTGCGTCACCTCCCACGAAGGGTTTTAGATACCTAACGCCGTCGGGCACCATCGAGCTGCTGGTGTCCACCCGCCCAGCGCTGCTGGCCTCAAAGGACCACAGCTTCCGAGATGTCCACATGTGCAAAAAGATGATCTCCTGGCGGGACAACCTCTCCAGGGACACCACACACAGGTCGCCCCCCTGCACCAGGACCACCATCGTGGTATAGATTAAACATATAAAAAATTTTGACATTTTTATTATTTTTAAATAATTTGTTTTATTCTTAGTAAATATTATTGTTTAATACTGACAGATGGAGGACCAAGTGGGATGGTTTCCTCAAAGGTGTGACAGTTGACCTAGTGTGTGGGTGTAGTCCTAGTGCGTGTTGCTAACTTATATCTGTCTGTCTGTCTCTTACATCGTGAAGGATCCAACACGACTCGGGTGGTCCGTCAGTGTTGATGTTCTTTTGTTTTGTTTACTTCTGGTCACTATTGCCTCCCTGTTGTTGTTTATTTATTTATTTATTTTATTTTTTTTACAGGGATCACTCCACCCGGGAACAGGTTACTGACCTACATCAGGGCCTGGGAGGTGAAAATGTAATAATAATAATAATAATAAAAATAATAATAATATAATAATAATAATAATAATAATAATAGTAAGGAAATACAAAAGTGAAAAAAAAGATCAAAAGTGTGAAACAATATACAGTATGTATACCTCTATTTAAAGGAATGTATATAAAGAGAGGAAAGTCCGTTATATCGCGGGTTCGTTATATATGAAACCTCCCTCTAACGGATTATATGGAGAGTACAGTCCGTTATATAAAGGTTCCAAATTGAGAGGAACTTTTACCGGTGTACGAATTTATTTAACCCCATGTACTGTACTTACCAGTGTGTGTGTGTGTGTGTGTGTGTGCTGCGGGGTATTGATACAGTTTATTTAGCCAGAAGAACACAGATAGAGTCGATTAAAGATGATAATATAACATGACTGAGCCAGTTGAGAACCTGAGCTCTCTTGCAGGCACCTGATACATTTATCTCGAGTAAGTATTATGTAACATTTAGTATCATCTGGAATAGTACACATAGCATGGTGGTAATAAGAACATATCAGAATCAGGGTTGCCAGATGTACGACAAGATTCACGGCCAATGTCACGCCATCTCACGGCCAAATAGGCCAAAATTCGGCCAAAACTTTTTGGATGGGAAGCACAAGGCTATTTTTGCAATCCACACAAAATAAAAGTATCCACCTGAAATGTCGTAATAAGACCACATTTTCACTTAGAATTGAGAGCCCAATAATTACATAAACATAATATCAATAATCTACTGATCACCAGACAACCACACACCTGCTGTACTAACACCCAGACAACCACACACCTGCGAAAACACACACACACACACACACACTATCTATCTATCTATCTAACTATCTATCTATTCAAACGTGTTATGAAATCTGACGAGGACTCGGCAAAACTACAGGAAGATCTAAAAAAAATTTTCGAATGGTCTGAAAAATGGCAGATGAAATTCAACGTCGACAAATGTAAAGTACTCAGTATAGGAGATGTAAACAGGGAAACCAGATACCAGATGAACAACGATGCCATTGAGAAATCCGACTGCGAGAGAGATTTAGGAGTAATGATAAGTAGGAACCTTAAGCCAAGTAAACAATGTGTTTTTGCTCGTAACAAGGCTAATAAAGTACTTGGGTTCATACAAAGGAGTGTTAGTTACAAGACTAGCGAGGTCATCCTAAAACTGTCTTGCTCTTGTGAGACCACACCTGGATTACGCAGTTCAGTTCTGGTCACCGTATTACAGAATGGATATAGAATCCTTGGAAAGAATTCAGAGGAGAATGACAAGACTAATCCCGGGCATTAGGAACCTTGAGTATAGAGACAGGTTAAAGCATCTTAATTTGCACTCCCTTGAGAGACGTAGAGCGAGGGCGACCTGATAGAGGTGTATAAGTGGAAGGCAGGGCTAAACAAAGGGGACATTACAAAGGTACTCAAACTATCAACCAGGAGCGAACTCGTAACAATGGTTTTAAATTAGACAAATTTAGATTTAGGCGTGAAATAGGTAAACACTGGTTTGGAAACAGAGTAGTGGATGAATGGAACAAGTTACCAAATATCATCATTAACTCGAATACGCTGAATTGCTTCAAACATAGGTTGGATGCTTATATGAGCAATAGGGGTTGGGTGTAAACGGGACTGCCCAGTATGGGCCAATAGGCCCGCTGCAGTTTCCTCCATTCTTATGTTCTTATGTTCTTAAAACGAGCAACTAAACCTACAACAACCTTATCTAACCTTACCAATCCATACCTTCCTTACGATCACTGGAATATAGTTTTGTTGTGGTTTGGTTGGTTCGTGTCGCCTGCCGTCAGAAATGATTGATCACCATAGAGACTCAGTGAGCGTCAACACAACAGTGGGTCACTCACTACCCTTGCCGACGATGGACAACCTAAACTCAAATATAAATCATCATCTGTTGAGTGACATACTGAAACTCTGTAAATGTCAAGTTGGGTCGAGTACTGTCAAATTTTTACCCATGATAATTTATTAATTGAACAACAACAAGTACTGTATATTATGGCA